CTAGCTGCCAAAAAAATGCTAACAACAACAGTCATTTTTTTAATGGCTAGCTAGTTATGCTAACTAGCTCAAACTGTTGTTGGTTAGCTTTTATTGATGTTCCCCGTTCAAATAAACGCTCTGCATTTCAAAGTGTACAAGGAAGCGCTTGTCTGGGTTGATGAATTGTTGTCAATTTCCCATGGGTTTTGAAAAAAAATGCGTTGAGTTAGTGCGAGTACATGAAAAAAAGCAACGGCACGGAACATAATTCCTCTGCAACGGCCCAATCCTCGGGCTCGACAAATGACATCCAGTTGAGGCCGTGCGCCTTGGCGGAGCAAAAACACACCTAGCTAGCTCGGCTAGTTCGCTAGCTTCCGTTACCTCCCGGTCAACGATTAACGACGCCGTAGGTGGTCTTCCAACAAAACGTGTATTACATAATGCTATTATTTATAAAATGTGTTTTTAAAAGTTTGTTGCATGGTTTTAAATGCGTGACTTTATTTACCTTTAGATGTTGCGTTCAAAGGGAGGGGAATGTTTTAGCTTGTGTCCGTATCTCTAGCTCCCCCTTTCTTCTCTCTCGGCTCCTCCAGAAGGAACTCGATTGGCTGCCAGCTAGCTGGTTAGCTAGCTTGCTAGCTATCAACAATAATCCGGGTCGGGCTGATTCGTTCTTTTTCCGCCTCTCAAGGGTGAACGTCTCCGCGTACATTCATGAGGAAACATTCGTTCTTCGGAGTTTCAGTCGGTCTGTTCCGCCTTACTCAATGAGTGCAGCCAATTTCGACAGTAAATGAGAAATATGACGATTGTTGCGATCATCAAGAGGCTCTCCTCTCGTAGAACAAAATGCCGACCGGAAGTTCTGCCGTCTGACTGACCAAAGATCTCAGGAGTGACTCCCTCCATCGGCGCCAAACAAAATGCCATGCAGCGTTTCGTGTTTGAGCCGCTAGACACCGCTGTAGGACTACGTTAGCGACGTAGTCTATTTGCTGTGTGCTCATTCTTTATCATTATCAACAGATGGTTTATATAAAGACCGCAGCTCAAGGCAAAAACAGTATTATAACATTTTTTTCTAACTACATATTTTGTGTAGGCCTATTATAGCATATTAGCAACATTTCACTTTCTAAAAGTAAGATATTAGGTAAAACATTTTTTTGTATATCACCTTCATGTATCAGTGACTGTCTGAGACTGTTCCTAATCTATGAAGTGGTACACTACGAGAAATGTGTTTTTATGCTTTTCTTCTAGGTTTGTTTTTAAATCTCTTTTATTATTTAAAATGTTAACCACTTAACCCATGATACACTGATACACTGGTTACTGCACCTGTTTTAAAATAGAGGAGTTTAAAAACTGTACCTTATCTGGTGGCCTACATTTAGGCTACTTTAAAACTGCTAATTAAATAGAATATATACATATATTTTCTGGCAATAAAACTGGCCATGGAATTACCCAAAACATCTACATCAAACTATTTAATCTGTAATGCGTTAAAGTATAGCTTACTTTGATGTTAGATATTATTTAAAAATATAGTACAGTACACTCAGAAATAATGCAAGGCCGTGCATTACAATTGTATTAAGCTAAGTAACCAGTAACTTGCTGTCTTATAAATGTGGTGGAGCTTAACACACACAGGGCAGCTACTATATCAAATTGAATTATTGTCCAACTGCCTGCACAATTACACACTCATCTTGCAGAATGGTTCATATAACATCATTAAGGAATAATTTACATTTACATATATTGGGAAATACAAATTAAATTAAATCAAAGGATAGAGGAGAATTTACACATACAATTAAGGGATTTGCATGTACATTTATAAAATATCTCAAAATGTGCCAACAGCAAGATACATTGTGTTGATGTGTAAAACATGACACAAGTGCTTAGTCTGCCCAATGTGAAAGATATATCCTGACTTTGTTTTAGGAAATCAAATCACTGTTTGACCTCAAGGGGTCAGCATCAACCTTTGGTAAATATGACAATTACAGTATTCTTAGAAATATTGATGTGTTGTTGAAGGAAACTGTAGAGAAATAATACTGGTTTGAAGTTCTAGCCAGGAAGATCAAGGTTGGTTGAGGTTAATGAAAACCACTGGCCCCTTCAGTACCAACAACCACGAATAACCCTTAACAAGATACAGCCTCCATCTTCTATACTCACTAATCTGTTCAGTATCTGTTCCATACCTCGGGACAGCTCGTATGAATTCTGCTGATTAACAGGCAGTTATTGCCTCTACAGGAATGTCCAAACTATTTAGGTGAAGACAAGTCAATTATGTGTACAGCCCAATATCACAAATTGTAAAATTACCTTAGGGAGCTTGACAATCAGTACAGCATACAACACCCTCCGTATTTAGACCCTTGATTCATAAAAACTCTCCAAAAACTTTAACGGGATAAAAAAGTAAGAAACCTCAAAATAGCAACAGAGGATGGTTGGACACACATACAATAGATGAGTACAATAAACCAACATAATAGGATAAAAGAATGGACAACGATGACAACATTTTAGAAATGTTTTTAACATGCCAAAAAAGGATTAAATAAGAATTTTAAACATTAAATACATATTGACACTTAAACAAAGGCTTATTGGCTGATTTTTGAATTCACACTTATTTCAGATAACTATTACAATAATGAAAAAGATACAAAAACTGATTACAATTTTTATTGATAAAAATCCATGCAAGATAGAACTACAAATATTGTTCAAATGTGTGTGTGTTTGTGTGTGTGTGTGTGTGTGTGTGTGTGTGTGTGTGTGTGTGTGTGTGTGTGTGTGTGTGTGTGTGTGTGTGTGTGTGTGTGTGTGTGTGTGTTTGCAGGCACATATGAATTCATGTGTGAAACATTCATATCAAAAGAGACACCAGCAACTGTAAACAAAGGAACTATTTCATTTCCTCAAGTTCGCACAGGTAACATAACAATTGGTCCTTTAAATCAGCCAGTTTTGCATTTGTAAAAGGAACTAGAGGGATTGTTAGTTTTTAAGAGCATTGTAACAACTTCTTTACATACAAAATCCTCAAAGAATCGTTTTTACAATTTAAATCTACAATTAATGTACATGTTTATCTACATTTCTCTATACAAGCACAGTATATTCAAAATAATCTTCTATACAAAGCAAAGATTATATAAATGTTGCATTTTTAATGTATACTTAATATTTTCAAGTAAGCCTAAAAGTTAGATACAAAAAGATTAGAAAATAACTCAAATGTGTTATTTTACAACATGCGTTCATATTTAATCAAATGAAATAAAACATTAGATTTAGTTATCTAAAGAGTCTGATTTGAGAAAAAAAGTATTAGAAAATTATATATTCAGCCTACTGAATACCTGGTTTACTAATTTAATACAAAACAATAGTTCGTACTGACATGTGAATGTTTCAACCAAATCATTTTGAGTTAAATCCCCATGTTATAGGGCAAACTCACAATCAAAATTATGATTTCAATAATACAAAAATCACTATTTTCCTTTTTTAGCAGTACTGTTAATGTACGGGTTAGCAATATTTTTTCCGGGCATGGGCAGGTATGATTTGATGAAACTACCCAAATTTGAAAATAATATTTGGTGTTTTTTCTTTTTGGCTTCTAGTCCACTTGCATTTATATTGTCTTCCCTGTATACCTTTGCTGTTACCCTGTGAATCCCCTCGCTATGGGAGGGATAATGGATTTCATATTCCTGATGTTACCTCAACCCTCTTAACTCACTTATGAATAGCATTTACCAGTTTCTATAAAATGCTAACCAAATGTTTTTTTTGTGTGTTCATTTTCGTTGGATGCTCTATATATCAGACACTTACAATAACCAATCAACAGCGATGATGAGCGAGATGTCGTCAGTGGGAAGGCCGACAGACGTTAGCACTATCACCATGGTGACCAGTCCTGCCTGAGGGATTCCAGCTGCTCCGATACTGGCTGCTGTGGCTGTGATACTGTTGGGAAAAAAGTGCAACATTTTTTTTAAATTGTCATTCATTTTCAGTGAAACTTTGAAAGACAGGTCCCTTTATTGAACTCCAACCCCTCCTTGGTAATATGATTAAAGAGGGTCACTTGTAATTCATTCATTTGGCTGAAATACTATCTGTTAAGGAATAATTCTTCTAGATATCTAACCTTTTGCTCTGTGACGTTTTATGATCTACTCTGACGTCTGTTATCTCCTTTAAGGAAAGGCATTCAAAAAGGAAATCAAATCACTGTTTGACCTCAAGGGGTCAGCATCAACCTTTGGTAAATATGACAATTACAGTATTCTTAGAAATATTGATGTGTTGTTGAAGGAAACTGTAGAGAAATAATACTGGTTTGAAGTTCTAGCCAGGAAGATCAAGGTTGGTTGAGGTTAATGAAAACCACTGGCCCCTTCAGTACCAACAACCACGAATAACCCTTAACAAGATACAGCCTCCATCTTCTATACTCACTAATCTGTTCAGTATCTGTTCCATACCTCGGGACAGCTCGTATGAATTCTGCTGATTAACAGGCAGTTATTGCCTCTACAGGAATGTCCAAACTATTTAGGTGAAGACAAGTCAATTATGTGTACAGCCCAATATCACAAATTGTAAAATTACCTTAGGGAGCTTGACAATCAGTACAGCATACAACACCCTCCGTATTTAGACCCTTGATTCATAAAAACTCTCCAAAAACTTTAACGGGATAAAAAAGTAAGAAACCTCAAAATAGCAACAGAGGATGGTTGGACACACATACAATAGATGAGTACAATAAACCAACATAATAGGATAAAAGAATGGACAACGATGACAACATTTTAGAAATGTTTTTAACATGCCAAAAAAGGATTAAATAAGAATTTTAAACATTAAATACATATTGACACTTAAACAAAGGCTTATTGGCTGATTTTTGAATTCACACTTATTTCAGATAACTATTACAATAATGAAAAAGATACAAAAACTGATTACAATTTTTATTGATAAAAATCCATGCAAGATAGAACTACAAATATTGTTCAAATGTGTGTGTGTTTGTGTGTGTGTGTGTGTGTGTGTGTGTGTGTGTGTGTGTGTGTGTGTGTGTGTGTGTGTGTGTGTGTGTGTGTGTGTGTGTGTGTGTGTGTGTGTGTGTTTGCAGGCACATATGAATTCATGTGTGAAACATTCATATCAAAAGAGACACCAGCAACTGTAAACAAAGGAACTATTTCATTTCCTCAAGTTCGTACAGGTAACATAACAATTGGTCCTTTAAATCAGCCAGTTTTGCATTTGTAAAAGGAACTAGAGGGATTGTTAGTTTTTAAGAGCATTGTAACAACTTCTTTACATACAAAATCCTCAAAGAATCGTTTTTACAATTTAAATCTACAATTAATGTACATGTTTATCTACATTTCTCTATACAAGCACAGTATATTCAAAATAATCTTCTATACAAAGCAAAGATTATATAAATGTTGCATTTTTAATGTATACTTAATATTTTCAAGTAAGCCTAAAAGTTAGATACAAAAAGATTAGAAAATAACTCAAATGTGTTATTTTACAACATGCGTTCATATTTAATCAAATGAAATAAAACATTAGATTTAGTTATCTAAAGAGTCTGATTTGAGAAAAAAAGTATTAGAAAATTATATATTCAGCCTACTGAATACCTGGTTTACTAATTTAATACAAAACAATAGTTCGTACTGACATGTGAATGTTTCAACCAAATCATTTTGAGTTAAATCCCCATGTTATAGGGCAAACTCACAATCAAAATTATGATTTCAATAATACAAAAATCACTATTTTCCTTTTTTAGCAGTACTGTTAATGTACGGGTTAGCAATATTTTTTCCGGGCATGGGCAGGTATGATTTGATGAAACTACCCAAATTTGAAAATAATATTTGGTGTTTTTTCTTTTTGGTTGATATCTTGATATGATTACAGTTTAAATTCTAAGTTGATCAAATGTACAGGTAGAGTGATTTTGGTTTGCCAGTCTTTATGACTGAAATGATTGGTTTGAGCAGTATGTGTCACAAAAAGGGGTTAGATAGTTGCCAAAATATTCTGAAAAGTGTAGCACTTCCTGTGTTGGACAGGTATGTGTGTTTTAGGTTAAATTACATAATCCCTCCACCAAATCGTAGAAAATAAAGCCACTAATGTCTATACAGAAGTTTGCAAATAAGCAGCCTTTTTCCCCCAAAAAGTGGACATGGTATTAAACACTTTTCCCATCAGTCTCCAAACAGATTTTTCACAACCATTTCACCTACATACATCACCACTCAAACAAAAGAAAACCAACAATTTTAAAGCCAGAAAAAGTCAAGTTTGGGCGGTAATCTGCTGCGGTGTTAAGACTCACAGCAGTACTGGCCTCTAGTGGGGGAGATCAGTCGTCATAGTTCTGAGAGGAGCTGGATATGGCGTGCAGGCCACAGAGCAACAAGCTGAAGAGTAATTCATTATTGCTGTAATAGTAAATAGCTGCCACCCTATGGCAGAAACACATAGTACTCTTAGGAAACATCATAATACAAACTTTTAGAAAAAACAAAGCAACAGTGAACCATCTGTCTGGGAAGCTCACACACATAAGTATAACTCATCTTGGTTGAAATATATTCTAGCTGTAGATCAATTTAATTTGGTCCCTCCACACTTGAGAGACAAAGGTATTCAAATTAAGTAGGGCTTAGTTTGAGAACGTGGTTCAATGCAGTGCAATTGTTTTCCTAAGAATGTAAGCAGCCTGAACAAAAATCTACATCTTGGTCTCGCTGTCAGCAGGTCTCTCATTCTCATACTCATTCTCCTGGCAGATTAGCTGGTACGGCTTCTTGTCTGCCTCCTCCACCACCGAGTTTCCCACCTCAGGGTCCTTCTTCTGCAACTCGTGGCGAGACAGGTGCTCCACTATACCTGCACCGATGGAGTCTCCAAGGACATTGGTCATGGTGCGCAGTCGGTCCCTGAGGAAAGACAGTGAAGAAGACAAGAAACGACAAGATGAAACAAGATTAAACAGGACTCATAAAGATTAAACAATACAAAACAAGTTGGAACAAGACACAAACACATGAAACAAGACAACATGAAACAAAAAGAAGACAAAAATGACATGACAAGGGAAGACAAAACGACTAAGGAAGACAATCAGTATGAAATATTAAACAATTTATTTTGGATGTAGAAAATGTGTGTGCATCAAAAATGATGATGAGTAAACTGAATGGTTTTAATCGCTCCAGGCAATCTTGAAACCACATGAAGCACACAGGCGGTGGATAAGAGGAAGCAGCTTTGCACTGGGTTTGGACCCCGACTGAATACAAACAGATGGATAGGGGGACGAGGAATGTGATGGGAGTGTCTCTGCAAGCTCTCCTATAATCCACTCATAGTGTAGAGCACACCAATTTGATCCCTTTTTACCCCCTAAAATCCCCCTGGGAGGAGTTTAATTGAACTCGTACTGCATCATTCTTGAACTACTGTAACATAACAGAGTTTTGCAATCACACTGCTCATGTGCAATATGAACATTGTATTATGTATTATTGCTTTTACTGGCTTCTAGTCCACTTGCATTTATATTGTCTTCCCTGTATACCTTTGCTGTTACCCTGTGAATCCCCTCGCTATGGGAGGGATAATGGATTTCATATTCCTGATGTTACCTCAACCCTCTTAACTCACTTATGAATAGCATTTACCAGTTTCTATAAAATGCTAACCAAATGTTTTTTTTGTGTGTTCATTTTCGTTGGATGCTCTATATATCAGACACTTACAATAACCAATCAACAGCGATGATGAGCGAGATGTCGTCAGTGGGAAGGCCGACAGACGTTAGCACTATCACCATGGTGACCAGTCCTGCCTGAGGGATTCCAGCTGCTCCGATACTGGCTGCTGTGGCTGTGATACTGTTGGGAAAAAAGTGCAACATTTTTTTTAAATTGTCATTCATTTTCAGTGAAACTTTGAAAGACAGGTCCCTTTATTGAACTCCAACCCCTCCTTGGTAATATGATTAAAGAGGGTCACTTGTAATTCATTCATTTGGCTGAAATACTATCTGTTAAGGAATAATTCTTCTAGATATCTAACCTTTTGCTCTGTGACGTTTTATGATCTACTCTGACGTCTGTTATCTCCTTTAAGGAAAGGCATTGGTGCCATATGTGTTGTTGTTACCAGTTTGTGACCGGTCAACTCTCGGGCACAAATGGTAATTGTTGTGAGAACGCTGAGGCACTTCCTTATCGGTGTTTGTGGACTCTAAGGTGTGAAATCTTTGAGGCCATAAGTGTCGGACGCAAGTGATTCAGTGTTCCCAGCTGTTTAGGCCCCGCTCACACGGGACCGTTTGCGTTTATGCACAGTATGCGTATTCAAAAAAGTCTTCCGTTCACATGCATTCGTTTCATTTAACGTGTCTGTTCAAACGAGGCCGCTGGAAACGCTGTAGTACATATGCTGGGACTGTAAGTGGCGCTGTAACTTCCGCCAAAATACACCAAAAGCCGCGAAGAAGAGCAACCGAGCAGCCCCGCTGCAATGTTGCCATGGCTACCCTTCTGTTTAAGCCCCGAAACTGAAACTGAAACTGAAAGAAACTGAAAGAAACCGAATCTGTGGATATTGCATCCCGACCAAGAAGCACGTCTCTGTGGAGAGGACGGCTCAGAAAGAGAGAGATATTCTCTACAAACACCGGGTGAGATCGCTCCTTTGTCAATATAATGGATCAATGCATGAAATCTGACTCTGTTTATTTTGTTTAAGCAGTATATTGGGCGTTAACAATTCTGGTTTGCCTTTTATAATATTATTTCATTCAAGAACCCCTTGTGCGTTTAATTAACACAGCTATTTTTGATAGTTGCTACAGCAGTGAGCAGGAGAGGTGGGGAGAGGCGGGGCTATCGTTATTTTTTCAGGAAATATTCGTATCGAGGTGATTACACGGACTCGGTTGACCCCCCAGAGCGTTTCGTTTGCAAATCTATCCACCTTGGGACCCGTTATTGTTTGTGGGGTCAGTTTCTATCGGCCTCGTGTAAATAATAGGGCTATACGCACGCGAAACTATGCAGATACAAGCAGTTTTCTCCTCGTGTAAACGGCGCCTTAGTCTACTTCCTCAGATATGTTGATTACTCTGTGAACCAGTCAAAAGGTCTAACATAGAGAGAGGCTCTTCAGAATTGACGTGGCAACTCTACCGTGAAGTCAGAACCTCGGGCTCGGACTTGTTTTGTGAATTCTCCGGCCGAAGCTCCTAATAAACCATCAGTGTTTGACATCAAAGCTCCAGCTCTATACCGTGTCTCCTTCCTGAGTCGGTGACTCCTCCTGCATTGCTACACAGAAGTTTCCCCCACACTATCCGCCATCAATCCCTGGTCAAAAAGCTACATTACATTACATTGCATTTAGCTGACGCTTTTATCCAAAGCGACTTACAATAAGTGCATTCGACCAAGAAGATACAAACTTGAAGAAAACAGAATCATATAAGTACATCAGGTTTCGTAGAGCCAAAACATTTCAAGTGCTACTCAACTGGCTTTAGATAAGCCAGTCCTTTATTAGTATATAAGTGCTTTGTTAGTAATTATATCGCTCGAAGTGGAGTCGAAAGAGATGAGTTTTCAGTCTGCGCCGGAAGATGTGTAGGCTTTCTGCTGTCCTGATGTCAATGGGGAGCTCATTCCACCATTTTGGATTTGAGGCTTTGAGATGCTTCATTTGGTTAAGCAATATCTCTTTACTTAATTAAAGACAAATGTACCAGTACTAGAAATATTCCAGAGCAGTTCCAGGCATAGTTTACTGGATCAAGTCCTCTCAGGTTCTCTTAATGCCGGATTCAGCAATTTTAGAGAAAACATTTTGATAATTGAAAGGAATATTAAAAGAAACTTCCCCCCACCAGATTTATTGTCCATCTCACTCCCATTTTCTTTGTATATGTGTATCTTTGTATACCCATGGCCTTTTTCCTGAAATGTGCTCAGGCATGTAAGACACCCTGTTGCCTTATTGCTTGACTAATATTGTGTGTTGTTTATTTCTCACTTATAGATATAGTGAGAAATACATAGCCAAGGCTATGTATGGACCCTGTTGATAGGGTCATAGACACAAAATGGACAGGTAGGCAGACATTCAATACATTTGACAAGAAGTGTATTGGATTGGATTGTTGAATCCACCTTAAAGTTAGTGAATGAATTACAGTATTCATTTATGTTGAAATAGCATACTGTAGATTGTGATGCAGGTGCTCTGTATATAACTTACCTGATGGTGAGAATCTGTCCAAAGTCAAGGTTATAATTGTTGACCTGAGCAATAAAGATGGCAGCCAGGGCTTCATACAGAGCTGTTCCATCCATGTTTATGGTGGCGCCGACAGGGAGCACGAAACGGGTCACACGCTTGTCCACCTTGTTGTTTTCCTCCAGGCATTTAAAAGTAATGGGCAATGTGGCAGAGCTTAGGAAGGATATAGGGAGAGGATGGATTAAAAAAAAAAAACAGCAAAACAGAGACATAGCCTATTATGAATAATCAACCACCTCTTTATGACTCTCATCCGACCACGTGTGGGTTTAAGCATCAAGAAGGCTGACAACATACTAAGTCTACAATCACTGCTCTAGTAATAATTTAACAAAGCAACTATTGCAGTTTTTAAATGCATAATATCAGGAAAATGTCAAATACATTATTAGAGTATTTTTTGGGCAATTAATATACTTTTTATCGTCCAGTATTGAAGTATTACATTGTATTAAGGAAGATTATAATACATTCTACCTTGACCTTTCAGTCTGTGAAGTTTTTAGTTGGTCTTAAGTTATATAACACAACCACATACCTTGAGGATGTTCCCAGAGCGGTGATGAGCGCCTGCAGCAGCCCGCCGATGAAAACAAATGGGTTCTTCCTGGTTACGAGGAAGTAAAGTGTTGGCAAGACGAAGAGGGCGTGAATGAGCAGGCCACAAATGACCGTCACAGTGTACATGGCCAGCTGTCCGCCCATGGATGAGATGTCATCCATCTCCACGATCTTACCAGCGATCAGGAACAGGATACCGATGGGGGCATACCTGAGGATCGATGAGTAATGTTATGAATTTGTAATCCAGATCCAGCACTTTATTTTACATTAGCCTTATCCATCCATCCTTACCACATGATTATGGCAACCAGCCTCATGATGGCTTCATTAAGACAGTCAAAGAAGTCCTTGAGGGGCCGCCCCTGCTCCCCCATGCTCGAGATTATCAGACCGAAGCAGATTGAGAACACAACCAGGCCAAGAGCATTGACTCCATTGACCGCTCCAGGCACCGGGATCATCTCCTCCCGGGTTATCTCGCTACCATTAAGTGTGAATATGGTGTCGTTCACAGTCATTTTCACATGGACTATTCTCTTGGCATACTGTGTCTTAAACTGCAAAGACAAATGGGTTAAACAGTGATTAATCCTGTTGCAATAACATTTATATGCATACTTTTAATCTATATTTGACTTTTTAAAGATATCCTATATCTAACTTGTTGTATATTAAGATCTGTTTTAATAAGGAGGTTGAAGTGGCCTTAGTTAGCATCTCAGCTGTGTAAGCATGGGTACTGGACATGTGATATGCTTTGATAATGATGGCAAATTCAGATTTAGTTGCTTAATAATTTAATTTCCAGTGTAACAGAGATCTCCACTAAGTAGTTTAAAGTTCACATGAATGACAATGGCAATACCCTGTACCTGAGAGGCTTAATCATAGCAGCATGTTTACTTTAATGGGCTTAAGCAAGATCATTTAGAAACAAATCATTATGTAACTGAAGGAAAAAGATAAAGAATGGATGTGGTGAGAGGGTTACCTGTTTGGTGCAAGCCTCCACAAGGTTAGGGGGAAACATATTTCTAGAGAAATAGAAAATAGTTACATTTTTATTAGGATTTACAAATAACAAATAGACATTTTCTAAAAAAACATGCAATATATAGACTATTTGGGCCAGAATAAGTACCGGAGTTCTCTTGTGACTGTGTTTTGTTGTCCCATAAATGTGTGTGTACCTAATCAAGTCCAGGAAGGCGTCAGCAGCGTTGACCTGCTCAACCTGCTGCTGGTTGGTGAACTCATCCTTTGATCCTTGTCCAGGATGAATAATGAGCACCATGACGATACCAATGAACACAGCAATAACAGTGGTGGTGGTGTAGTACAGAACTGCCCGCAGACCCATTTTCCCAGAAGCACGGCCGTCCAGAGCTGCCATACCTGAGAAGGACATCGTCTACATTAATGTATCAGTACAAAAGGTTATATCCTCAATAAAGTTTCTCATAAGTATTTATCTGCTGGTAGCTGTACTCATCAGAATTATGGAAATACTTTCAAGCTGTAGACATTTCAGTTCCTAGCAGCAACAGCACTGTACTGTTAGCAGCTGTATTTGGTCTTATGTTGCATACTGTACATATAGGTACATCATGAGTGTAAGCATGTGTTTAAAAAACAATATAATCCTCTCAAAGTTCAGTTACTGTCATAAGAAATACTGCAACTTTTGTATTGTTCTGCATATGGAAAAAAAACCTCCCTTTCATCTTTAGTCATGCTGCCTTGTGACCTTACAGTTTGCATAGATGTGTCAGTTACTTGTGTCCCTAAGAGCTTACAGTTGATCTGGGAAAAGGTGCTGTGATTATAGGTGGAATACACCCATCTGTATTATCTGCCTTGATATCTGTGGAAACAAAGAGCGGCAGGGAACACAATCTGGCTCTGACCTTTATTGGAAAACAACACCTACTGTACAGCACCCATGAGGAGATAGTATACATTATCTGACTTTAAATACAGATACAATATTATAGCTGCAGGGAGAAACTCTGTAAAAACAAAGCAATACAATTTAGATTTTTTTAAACTATTCCTTTCTTTTTGCAGTTACTTTTAATATTTACTTGCACTATATTTTTCTGTCTTTCTGTAATATTGTGTTGCACTGTTGGAGAAGCCTGTGACTTAAGAATTTCATCGACATAACTACTCTATAGCTATGGTTGTATGACTAATAAAGAACCTTGGTATACCTTGGTGTTGTATGTCTCCAAGTGTGTTTGTTTGTTTGTAGCCTTTATTTAACCAGGTTAAAAAATCCCATTGAGATCAACGATCTCTTTTTCAAGGGAGACCTGCGGTACATTAGTTACACATAAAAACAACAGAAAACAAAAAGGACATCACAACATAATTACAGGGGTATACATTAGCAACCTATTTACATTGACAGGTATCCAATAACATTTCATCCAGCCGTGCTTTAAAATGATGCAAGGGAATCAAAATGCTCAGTTTCAATGTTTTTTGCATGGTGTTCCAAGCTAGAGGAGCAGCGCACATAAAAGCTTTAGTACCTAAAACAGTCCTAGCACTTGGCACATGTAATAAGAACACATCCTGGGATCTCAGGCAATAGCTACTTGCCACTCTCCGTGAGATCAAAGAGCATATGTAAGTCGGTAGTTTACCCAGCATGGCTTTATATATGAATATGTACCAATGACTGAGCCTCCGACCAGTAAGTGAAGGCAGACCTGCCTTGGCATACAGGGTACAGTGATGAGTAAGTACTTTACAGTTAGTAACAAATCTCAGAGCACTGTGATAAGCGGCATCTAACCTTTCCAGGCAATGGGCAGGTGCATTCATATAGATCAAATCACCATAGTCTAGCACAGGTAAAAAGGTCACAGTGACTAGCCTTTTTCTGGCTTCAAAAGAGAAACAGGACTTGTTTCTGAAAAAGAAACCTAGTCTAACCCTCAGCTTTTTAAGCAGATTAATGACCTGAAGTTTAAAAGTAAGACAATCATCAAGCCAGATACCAAGGTATTTATAACAGCTAACCACTTGGAGTACTTGTCCTTGCATAGTCACAATATCCAAAGCAGTCTCTGGAGTCTTTTTAGCTTTAGAAAAGAGCATTACCTTGGTTTTCTCAACATTTAAAAGAAGCTTTAGTTCAGAGAGCTGAGTCTGAATAATGTTAAAAACAGCCTGTAATTTAACAACCGCCTCCTTAATGGAGGGACCTGCACAGTACATCACGGTATCATCCGCATAAAAATGCAAAGTAGCATCATCCACATTTTCACCTAAACTATTGATGGAGATGGAGAATAAAAGTGGACCTAAAACAGAACCTTGAGAAACACCATTAGCAATGTTCAACCACTCAGAAGACAGCCCATCAAAGTGAACACATTGGGACCTTTCAGAGAGGTAGTTCACAAACCACCCCACTGCATGGCTGGATAAGCCAATACTGAGTAGCCTCTGCTTTAAGATGCGATGATCGACGGTGTCAAACGCTTTGGAAAGGTCAATAAATAGAGCTGCACAACTCTGCTTTTTATCTAAAATACTTGTAATGTCATTCACCACTTTCATTGTGGCAGTGATGGTGCTATGTTGCTTTCTGAAGCCTGACTGATGTTTAGACAGGATATCATTGTTACATAGAAACTCCTTTACCTGTTCACTCACTAGGCGTTCAAGAACCTTAGCCAGAACTGACAATTTCGAGATTGGCCTATAGTTATTTAAAACAGTTGCCACCCCTCCTTTTAGTAGTGGCAGGACATACGCTGACTTCCATACTTTTGGAATTGTATTTGTGCTGAGGGAGAGGTTAAAAAGAGAAGAGGTGGAGCAATAAAATCTGCAGCTATCTTTAAAAAGAAAGGTTCTACGTTGTCCGGGCCAGCCGGTTTCTTAGGATCTAACTTAGATAATGCTTCATGAACAACATTTACAGTAAAAGGAGTAAAACTGAAAGGGTTTTCCAAACCACATTGTTCAGAGTCACGGATTGAGGTGTTCACAGAAGCAGAGTTAGTCACAGAATCAAACATAGAACCACAGGACACAAAATGCTCATTAAAACAATTTAGCATAGTAGCCCTGTCCGATATAGAGCCAGATGTTGTGGTAATGCACGGAGGTAGCTCATTTCGGATCTCACCGGTGGATATCGATTTTATGGCTTTCCAAAATTTCCTAGGATTATTTAGGTTTTCTGTAGTAACTGACAAATAGTACTTCGACTTAGCACTTTTGACCTGTGAAGTGAAGCTATTTCTTAGCTGCCTAAAACGCAGCCATTCTACCTCTGAGCCTGATTTCCTAGCCTTTGCCCAGGCCTTGTTTCTCTCATGCAGGAGACTGGACAGTTCAGCAGAAAACCAAGGATTGTCTCGTCCCTTTACTCTAAAAGTACGTAGGGGTGCATGTCTATCAATGATCTCCATAAAACCAAGATAAAAATAAGACCATGCAGTTCTACATCAGCACACAGATCGATTTTTCCCCAATCAAACCCAAGCAGATCATGAACAAAACCCTGCTCCACAAAATGTTTTATGTGTCTCTTAATAATAATACGAGGTTTAACCTTTTGGACCTTAGTGTCCCTAATTGTGGCTACAGCACAGTGGTCACTCACATCATTTGCAAATACTCTCTGTCAGAGATAGTTATTATTGTGGGACACCTGGAACACATCCTTCTCGGGGTGTAGATGACCCCGAGCCATAAGCGACAACAACTGTGATTCAGTGTCCTCAGCTGTCTATCTATTGAAGAAGGTTGATTATTACACTCTGAACTAGTTAAAACCTTGAGCTACAGGAGGGTTCTTCAGAATTGATTGTGGCATCTCAACCGTGTGGTCAAACCGTGGCCCGTGACATGTCTTGTGAATTCTCCGGCCGAAGCTCCAAATAAACCGTCAGTGTTTGCCATCAAAGCTCCAGCTCTCCTCGTGTCTCTCTTGCCCCTTTCACACCAACGCGTTTTCAGGGCCGGCTCAGAGCTAGAGCCTGAAAATTACCGGTTTTTCCTCTTCACACCGCAACGGCGCCGCCTCTTAGCTCCGGAATCCGGTTCGTTTCCAGCTCCAAAAAATTGTCGGTCTAGAAGCAAGATTCCGGAGCTAAGAGGCGGCGCCGCTTACGTCTCTCTTACGTCGAGGCGGGGGCAGGGGCATGGACGGGATCAACCTCCTGAACAACAACAAAATGCCCGCGTTTTATCCAGTTTGTACACAACGATAGCATAGCATAACCAAAGCGAACAGCGCTTCAATACAATCGGCCATTGTTGTTGTTGTCGATGTGAGGGATTTCCGCGCGGTTTGGCTTTTATGAAGCAGGCACGTAAACGGTTACGTCATGACGCAAACGATGAGGCAATGACGCAGTACCACCACGGCTCTGTGTGGTGTGAACAAAGTGCGAGCAGAAAAGGGAAACCGGAGCTGAACCAAAAAAGCTCTAGCACGGAGCTAGAACGGGAAAAGCGCTGGTGTGAAAGCCACATCTGAGTCCTGTTTCCAATTGCTACAGAAGTTTCCCCCACAGTTACACAAGCCAAAAAATCGTTATGACATCATAAAGTGACCAAAATCTGATCAGCTCATTTTCAGACAGGTTTTTATTAGGGCTGTCAGTCGATTAAAATATTTAATCGCGATTAATCGCATGATTGCCCATAGTTAATCGCGATTAATCGCAAAATTAATCGCACATTTGTTATCTGTTCTAAATGTACCTTAGAAGGATATTTTTCAAGTTTTTAATACTCTTATCAACATATGAGTGGACAAATATGCTTTATATGTTTGTTTATTATCATTTGAACAATGACAAATATTCTAATGAATATTAAACACAACAACCTCTGAACATTACAAATATTCGCCTCAATTCAACCTGGAACCTCTCTCATACAATAATACAATACAAAGTGTGTGTGTGTGTGTGTGTGTGTGTGTGTGTGTGTGTGTGTGTGTGTGTGTGTGTGTGCGTGTGTGCGTGTGTGCGTGTGTGCGTGTGTGCGTGTGTGTGTGTGTGTGTGTGTGTGATGTTTGAAAATGGGGTTGGTCAAGAGGCAGCGGTGGTTTTAGTGGAGGTGACACCGACTGGCATATGTTAGTAACACCTGTAGACTCTATGCTACAGAATACAAATAGGCACACACATCCAAGATATACAGTAGAGGCCTAGAGTGATTTTACAAGTGGAAATGATTCTATCACAGGCTATATGTGTGTGAACTCATAAAATGAGTGTTTTACTTTTTCCATCAGACTTTTTGTTTACTCAAACAGAGAAACTCCCCACATGGGAAACAAATATAAAAATATGCAATACACGCACCAACTGACATGAACACACACACACATTCTCTGTCTTGTTTAAACAGCACACATA